ATTGTCGATAGTGAAAAAGCCGGTCCAAAAATATAAAAAGTTAATCAGTAACTTGATGTTCAAAGGTCTTTATAGTGCATAGAAGTAAGAACGCAAAGTGTTAACAAAGTTTAACCAATTCAAATGTTTTCGATTCCGAATTTCGATGTCACACGTTACTTCACCGCAACTACCACCATCACCACCACCACCGCGCTGCATGAGAATTGGGAAGTTCAATCGCAAAACTATCACAAGGAATGTGCGACAGCCATCAGAACCAGAATTCAAAGCTGACCATGCCATCAGCGGAAGCGGATTCAATTTTCTACCGTCAATCCTTGTTCATTTATTGGATAGGGCTAACTTTCATTGGTGTCCAGCAGTTTGACCTCAGTCGTGGTGCATTCGAAGATGGCAACAACAATAATGTGAAAGTCACCCAGCACGGCCTGGAGCTAACACAAACGATAAACATACAGCGACAGGAATATTTACAGAAACAATGTGAGACGTTGGGCTATAGTACACACATGTTAGATGATCTGACAGAAGAGCAAATGGATCACATGATTGTGGATAGGGAACACAAGTTTCTGTATTGTTATGTGCCGAAGGTGAGTGTTATTGTGGAGTAGAATAATTATCGCATAAAAAATTTTAGTGTTAAGGTACAATTCAGCACATTTTAAGTTTATTAGGTAAACTAACAAGCATAAGTGCATATTGATAAACTTATAAGTTTAGAAAATGAATTTTTTTTGCAAACTTAAATTTTCTATCAAAATTAAGATGTTTTCTTTTCTCATAAAAAATTGCTTTGAGCATAAATCTACCTTACATATACTCGGTCCCTATGAAGATTAGCACTATAGTCGTCGAAGACTAGCACATTTCATTATTCGCGTGGAAAAGTCGGTGTAGTCACTTTACCACAATTGTGGTAGATCTACCACATTTTCAATAATTTTACACTTCTACCACAACTACCACATATTTTAAAAAATCTACCACAATTTTACTGGTATGACGCTATTAACCTAGTTTGTCAAGATGTTTGTTTGAAATAAGTTGACCAGCCAATTTCTCCTCAATATGAATGTAAAAGTCACAAAAAATTTATTGTAAATATTGTGTTAGTTGAAGAGCTGAAGGTGCTGCCAAATTGCGCAATTTCAATACTCTACTTTAAACTGAAATTGTAGCTGTTTACACAACCATCTCAATTTCAATTTCGATGACAGTTTGTTTATTTCTTTGTTGTTGTTTTGTTTTGTCAGGTTTGCTTTGTTTTTACTTGCTTGTTTGACGTTTGTTTTTTTCTTCTTTTTACTCATTAATAATTCACAATACGCAATTTTAAGAGTTGTTTTCGCGAAGTTAAGGCAATTCCGTCGCAATTTCAGGTGACAGTTTTTTGTATGGCGAAATTAAGAATCGTATCGCAGTTTCAGCTGAAACTGAAAAATTCAAAGAGAGCAACTGTGGTGATATAGAGATTCATAGTGTTGAATGTAAACTTTTAAATATTATATAAAACTGTGTGATGAAATGCGTAAATGGTTTAATTTTGCTGAAAGCAACTTAAGACTGTTAAAGTATTTTGACCCACAAATTATTGAAAAAGGTGATATGCAAACTATTTTACCGCTTCTTAAACAATATCCTTTTTTTGAGGGTTTGGAAGAGTCTTTGAACAGCGAGTAGAGAAATTTGATCGTTTTTGACAAAACCAAAGTTATGGATGACTTGGTCAAAGGTTGGACTGCGCTAGGGAATAAAAAGAAATTTCTTTGACGAATTTATGTTCACTGAATAATCCAAATAACTATATGTGCAATTTGGCAGCCCTTCCTGATAGCACTGCCGGTGATGAAAGATGAATATAATTAAATATTCTAAGTGAAATCGTCTCAGTGTGTTATCAGTGGAAAATCAAATTTTCACTAAAGAAATGTGTGATTTTGAAAATACTTATGTACGTTCGAAAGACCTTATATAATTTTATTTAAAATTTAAATTTTTTGATGGAAAGTTCGTGGCCATAAATATGTAAATAATAACGTATATTCCAACATTTTTCTTATAATTATATACAGTGACGGGCAAAACTGTAACATGTTGTAACACTTTTTACTTCAGCCATCGCTATCTTCCCAAGTTCTAACGACTTTCATACTTTTGTTGTATATTCTTATTGGTACACCTGTACTTCCTCTCTCATAACTCATAGTCAATCCAACAACAATAATAAAACCAGCAGACAAAAATGTAAATTAATGCAAATGTTACAGTTTTGCACTCATATATTTTTAAGAACTTTTTAGCAATTTTCGCAAGAAAAAAGAACTATTAACACAATGTTCAATAAGCTCTTGCTTTTTTTGGTTCCTGGATGTGATTTGGCATACCTTATTTGTATCTCTGTAAAAATTCTGGAGGTATATCCTACGTACGTATAGCAATAACGCGGCTGAAAAACAACAACGCTGCTGGAGCTGGCAGCCTGCCAGCTGAGCTATTCAAGTACGGCGGCGAGGAGTTGATAAGGTGCATGCATCAACTCTTGTGCAGAATATGGTCAGATGAACGCATGCCCGACGACTGGAATTTAAGTGTGCTGTGCCCAATCCACAAGAAAGGTGACCCCGCCATTCGCGCCAACTACCGCGGGATCAGCCTTCTAGGCATAGGTTACAAGGTCTTATCGAGCGTACTGTGTGAAAGACTTAAGGACACAGTGTGGCTTTAGACCTGGCAAATCCACAATAGACCAGGTATTCACATTACGCCAAATCTTGGAAAAGACCCGCGAGAAAAGGATCGACACTCACCACCTATTTGTCGACTTTAAAGCCGCCTTTGACAGCACTAAAAGGAGTTGCCTATACGCCGCTATGTCTGAATTTGGCATCCCCTCAAAACTCATACGGCTGTGTAAAATGACGTTGAGCAATACCACCAGCTCCGTCAGAATTGGAAAAGACCTCTCCGAGCCGTTCGCCACAAAACGGGGTTTCAGACAGGGTGACTCCCTTTCATGTGACTTCTTTAATCTGATGTTGGAGAAGATAATAAGAGCTGAAGAACTGAACCGCTCAGGAACAATTTACTATAAAAGCGTGCAATTGCTGGCTTATGCCGATGACATCGACATCATCGCAAACAAAAACCGCGAAGTCTGTTCTGCCTTTTCCAAGTTGGATAGGGAAGCAAAGCGAATGGGTCTGGTGGTAAACGAGGACAAGACGAAGTATCTCCTGTCATCAAACAAACAGTCAGCACATTCACGCCATGGCACCCACGTCACTGTTGACAGTTATAATTTCGAGAAAGTAGAGAATTTCGTTTACTTGGGAACCAGCATTAACACCGATAATAATGTCAGCATTGAAATCCAACGCAGAATCACTCTTGCCAACAAGTGCTACTTTGGACTGAGTAGGCAATTCAGGAGTAAAGTCCTCTCTCGACGTACGAAAAGCATGCTCTATAAGTCACTCATCATGCCCGTGCTGGTATATGGCGCAGAAGCATGGACAATGACAACATCCGATGAGGCGGCTCTTGGAGTGTTTGAGAGAAAGATTTTGCGGAAGATTTACGGGCCCTTACGTGTTGGCGACGGCGAGTACCGCAGACGATGGAACGATGAGCTGTATGAGCTTTACAACGATGTGGACATAGTGCAGCGAATTAAAATACAGCGGCTCCGCTGGCTTGGTCATGTCGATCGAATGGACACCGACGCTCCAGCTCTGAAAGTATTCAACTCGGAACCCGCTGGTGGTAGCAGAGGAAGAGGGAGGCCCCCACTGCGATGGAAAGATCAGGTGGAGAAGGACTTGGCTTCACTTGGCGTTTCCAATTGGCGTCAGCTGGCACACAGGAGAAACGACTGGCGTGCTTTGCTGAACTCGGCCAAAATCGCTTAGGCGGTTACAGCGCTAAAAAAGAAGAAGAATATCCTCCTATACATATATCCTTAGTTTGCTTTCACAGCTCATGTACTCGATTTTACGGACTTGGATACTTAGTAAACTGTGATTAGTTGATTTCATGTCCGCGGATTGTGGAGGTCATTTGAAATTACCAAATTTTTGCTTTTGTATCCAGTCTTTGCGAACATGTGCAGTGTGTTTCAGCAGAAGCTCTCATTTTTTCGACTACATCTTGCAAATTTTGTTGAAATATGAAAAGATACTGTTCCTTACGCATAATGCGTACATGATGCGCATGTACTTAATTTGGGGCTTTGATCCAATACCATGCCCGGCCAGCTGATTGAAAGCGATTAATTTAGTTTTGTGAGACCAACTAACCTTCAATGGAAACTTAAAATTGTGTTTTTTATTGTATTCAGAAAGGCCTAACATATCCCAATAGGCAACGGTCCGGTTTTCGTGCGATGCAGCAAAATGCTGCATCACTCGCACATGTACTTTGATCAAATTAGCTTTTTTCTTCTTTTATGATGCCTTTGCGATAAATTTAGCAATTCCTCGCCTCGGTGTCTATTGCTTTGCATTAAAGTTCAATACCTTAACCCTTTTGACCCCAAAGTTGCTTATAAGCAACTTTGATTTTCAGCACCATTTTATTTGAAACAAACGGAACTAACTCATCAAAACACGCATCGAATTGATTAATTGCAGTTCTTAGAAGAAAAAAAAAGAAAACAAAAAAAGTGTCAGTTGTGTTGCGATCAACATAACTGTAGTGCTTTATTCAGTGTGAAGTCGAGCGAATTGCGCGTGCTGAAATTTTAGTGCAAAAAGTGAAAAATAATTAAAAGTACTTAAAAATCATAATATAAAAAAATAGGTACGCAGTTTGAACGCTCAGAATTGAAATGAAAAATAAGTAGTAAAATATTTAATAAAAGTTGCATTGTTGCCGGCGAATATTTTTTTCTTTACTGAAGTTGCTTGTAAGCAACTTTGGGCAACGGTGGTAGCAAACACATTGAAATCGAAGACATGAACAAACCACGAAAAGGACTTTGTGTAGCAGATATAGAAGCAGTTCTGGAGTTTGACTGGGACGAATCTTCTGATGAAGAGTGCGAAGAAGATTAGGCCGAGTTTTTAGAGAAAAATTTGAAAGATGTTTTGGAGAAAGGTGAGGAAATCGAGATCGACTTGTTAGAAGCTATCGCCACTGAAGAACGTGCTGAAGAGTATCCAGAGTGTTCAGAAATTCCTGTCGTTGAAAAAGTAGACTTGTCTACATTGCGATGGAGGAAAAAACCATTTGGTGTAAAAGACATACCATTAGAAAATCCTGTAGAAGATGTTCAAATGGTGAATAGACCAATAGAGTGTTTCAGATCGTTTTTCGATGATGCAGTTATTGAGCTGATTGTAAAAGAGACTAACTTATATGCACTTCAAGAGTCTGGGTCTGAACTTAAATGCACTAAATAGTGAACTCCTGTATTTATGCAATAATGCTTCATTTTGTTTCAATAATTAGTATTTGTTATATTATTGGTTATTGTTTCTGATAAATAATAATTTGACGCACAATAAAATGTGTTTAATGTTTACAAAAATTCTACTACGCTGTGTTAGAGATATACCACAGTTTTTATTAACAATCTACCACTCATTTGGTTTCTGAAGTGACAACACTGGGAAGAGTAGCACATTTCAGATTGTCGTGTGGAACACAAAACTTAAAGCTTAGTTAGTCTAGACTTAAATTAATCATCAATGATTACTCAACACGTCAGCTTAAGCCAGAAGCGGAAATATTTTGTTTTTGTATTTTCTTTTTCAGCTGTTTGACAGTTTACTGCCTAAACTGCCACATCAGAAAAATGCATGCAGAAAAATATGTTTGCGTTCATTTATTTTTAAGAAATGCAAAAACCAGAATCTGGAAAGCCTGATTCTCTCACCGCTCCCAATTTCCGCAAGGCCGTAACTTAAGAATCTAAAACCTACAGGTTCTTAAGTTACTTACGGTAAGTTAAGTTTTAATTAACCGCCAACACAGTTTCTCATATAACAGGTTGGCCAAAATATTAAGTTAAGTTAAGTTACTGGAATTAAGTCTAGACTAGCTGAGCTTTTACATGGATTTTATAATTATTTCACTTGGGCCAAGTTGAAAGTTTAATGTTGTGTTTGCAGCTTTCCGGCCGGTTATTTTAAATAAAACAAACGTTTACTTTTCTTTTCAAAGACATTTCGAGATTTTTTCGAGAGACGTGTTTTTGGTACTTTTCGGAGCTATTCATCAATATCTCATGAAAAAATCTCCCAATTAACGTAAGCGATCTACAGTTCGAATGGTATTGAAGTGCCTCTGACAAAAATATATAACTTCTGGCGTCGTGGCAAAAAATCATTAAAAATTAACGCGAGTTTTTAACCACTTAAAACTTGCACTGGTTTTAATTGCATAACCGATGTACCAGCATACCCTGAATTTTTCTAAAAGTTCAGGCTAAAAAGTAAAATATGTAGATAAACATTTATTGAATTTTTCTAAATTCTGTATAAAGTTTGACTTATGTGGTTTTGGTTAAAGAATGAACATGCTTTTATAAAAAAAATAGACTTGAAAAACATTGCAAATATTTAACAAAAATCACCATGCTTTCACTTTTAATAACCAGTTTGTTTTTTCTTGGTATTTTATACTACGTAAATTTACATATTTATGAAAGTGTATAGGTTATATATTTTTTAATTGTCCTGCATTTTCTATTCATATTTATAGTCACCGTAGTTATGACGCATATTCGCGTTTGCCTCAAGGAACAATTATTTATAAATAGGAAAAACAAACCGCCTAAATCGCCATTGTGACAAAAATGAGATTTGGTAACCCTGAACTCCGGGCATTGAGATTTATGCATAAGAATCGTAAAATCGGTATTAAAACAACAGCTTTGTAAAGTAATTGCTAGAGAAAATACCGCCTATCCAGGCAATGCCTTCAAAAAAACCTGTTGTTCCGCTCTCCTGTAAAATTTGAGTGCCGTAAGATTGGCGGTTTTTGCAATTAGTCGATGGGCGGTTTTGCAAAAAAATCGACGATATACTTCCCTACATATTATATTATTAATAACAAATAAGACAATACAAAAAAGTTGTATTTATTACAACTACTTTGATATTTAACAATTAATTTATCATCAAACATGAAATAAACACATTATTGAGACACGCTAATTAGGAAATTCATACGCCGTTTTATTTGTCGTAGCCCTGTTGTATTGTTTCAGCACAGCAAATATATGCGAGGTGTGAACACCTCATGATCTTTTTATGTATGCTATTTCTATAAAATTTAAACTTGTTCAGCTGATTACGCCAAAAGACTTTCATAAACGTTTGAAAATTAAAATGCTGCGGAAGAGTGAAAAATCACAAATTACACTGGATCACAAATTTTAATTTGGTTTTTGTTCTTCAGACGCCACTATCCAAATTGTATGTAGAAGCGCCCGCGGATTCCAAAAATCGATTTATTTTTTTATTCCATGGATACGTTTTCGATATATTTTCAATTTACCGTTATTCATCATAAAACATGAACCAATTTAATAAACTGAAAATGAAATACGAACAATGAAAGCTAAGAAAATGTTCCATAAACCGTGTGTAAGTCACTTTCTGATAGTTTCTGACAAATTAATTAATCATTCCAGTTTTTTTTTTGATGAAAAAAATAAAAAAATCTAATTTTAACAGGAGAAAAATTAAAAAACTATTAGGTTCTGGTAAAATTTTTGCAGTTGTGTTACAAACAAATCAAGTTACTAATGAAGTGTTTCCTCGTATCTTCATAAAAAAAAATCTGGAATGATTCATTAATTTGTCAGAAACTGTCTGACGTATGGAAAAGTGATGTACGAGTATATACCTATGTAGAATCTTGTTAGCTTTCATTTTCCGTATTTCATATTAAGATTGATAAATTGGTTCGCAAGATATACGTGATTAAGTGTATCCACTTTTTGTTTTAAGCTGAATAACGGTAAATTGAAAATATCTTGACATCTTATCCATAGAATAAAAAATTAAGTCGATTCTCGGAATCAGCGAGCAATTCTTTATAGGAATTGGATAGCGGCATCCACTGAGCATTTTTGCTGTAAACCAGCGTTATTGCTGCCATATGTGAAAAATATGCACTAGAATTTTCAATGATGGCATTCAGTAAGTGAAATATTTGGAAATATACATTTTAATGTATCTATGTTGGTTTCAGGTGACGAAGAAGAGAAGGAAGAACTGCAAATCGTAGAAGTATTCACTTTGGATTACCAAAATCAACTGAATATGGGTTGAAGAATATGGGTAATGAAAGATTTTGTTAAATGATGGGCGTTACAACGGTGGAGTTTTCTTATATTTTAAAGATCATTAAGGATAACGACGTTTTTAAAAATAAACTCAGTCCAGCACAACTTCCGGTAGATATACAACTGAAAATTGTGCTTTGCCGTTTAGAATCATCAGGCGAAGGGCTTTCCATTCGCAAAGTAGTGTCTCTCTTTGGTGGAACCGAAATTTCATTAGCTGAAGCCCCTGAAAAGGACCATGTGCTTTTATTTTAACGCAAACGGCACTATGCTATAAGAATGCAGGATATGTGCAGTGTTGCCAGAACTTTTTGGACCAACCGGCTAAATTAGCAAAAAAAAAACGGCTAAAAGCGGCTAAACTGCTTCACCTAAATTTCACATGTTTTATTTAAATAAATCACAAGTAGAAATACTAGTTTTGGAGAGTAGTTGCAAATTCAAGCTGGAAAAATTTGCCAGCAAGAATTTGCAATTACGAAAACATGATTGTGGTTGGATTTTTTGTCGACGATAATTTGAATAAACAAGTTCGCTAAATTTAAAAATTTACAAACTTGAGCGATTTTAAAATGAAAAATGTAAGTAAATACTTGTTTACTTAATTAATTTAGTTAATTCCAATGATTTGAAAGGTATTCGGCTGAAAAAAACTGTATTCGTAATCGGAATGCTATCTCAACCAGAGTCGATATAGGATACCCGACAGTTACTACGACAAAGAAATTGAAACGTAGGTTGAAGAAAGTCGGACGAACAAAAAATATACTTGTAGATCCCGTTTTTTGTCCCTTTGAAAGAATTTTAAAAATTCTGTACAAATTTCTTTTGTCTGCAATGCAACTGCCAACTTGGCTCAAACCTTTTGGCCCCTTTTTTACATCAAACGGCACTTAATTTTGCAATTCGGCACAAAGTGCCAAATTGCATTTTTGAAAAATAGTAACATTTCAATACATTTTTGTGAAATCCTTTGCTTGTACTTCCTTTTCTCAACTAAAATTTTCTCATATCTATGATGTATTCAACTGGTTTATCTTACTTTGGCATTGGACTTTTGATTTAGGAATGTGCTTCTAATTTTAATGCTAAATGGGAAGAATTAAAAGGAATGACACCTTTTTTGTCACTTTTATTTTTCTATTTGACACATTTTGGCACTTTTTTATCCTTAATATGACACTTTATAGCTAAGTATTTTTGCGTTCGTGCAGAAATTTGGAAGTTTCTCTACTTGAGAGAGAATTTGGAACAATTTTTTTCTTACTATCTGATATTTTGAGTGATAATTCTCGCTGGATTTTCGACGAACAAACCCATTGTTTTGCTTTACATAGAAATTTGTGCTCTTTTATTTTCATTTTGACGCATTTCAGTGTTGGTTCTTTTAATTCAAGTTGGTTTCGGTTTTTGGAATTTAAATAAGTTCTCAGCAAAAAAAAGTTTGTTTAAAAAAATGCATATGTGTAGCCCTTGAAAATATCCATTTTTCCCTTACCTTAAACCTTTAAGCGTGGGCAACAATGTTGTTTTGCAATTAAGGCTTTCTAACATGTTGAACATGTGGTGAGTTTACCTTCTTTCTGTTTAGTTTATTTGGTTAAAATCTAAATCTTTTTCGGACAAATGCCAAAAAAATGCAAGTTTCTGATCAGGCACACGGCAGAGAGGTCATACACAAGTACTACCCAGTAGATAATTTCAGGAGTTAAAATCTCATCCAAAAGGCCTTTCTGAAAGTTATTCCTTTCTCCTTAATTTTTTCATGGAGTGGCACAAATTGAAGGGCCTCCGCATTCGCTATTCAAAAAAGAGCTTTCAGAAGGGCTTCTGTAGTACGTGTTTTGAAGAAGTTCTTTGCAAGTTTTCCTTAATTCATAAAACTCATACTTTAAGGAATTTTTTTAAGATTCATATTAAATAGTTTTATTTAGACTTAAAATTCATATTGAATCTTATTTGTAATTCTAAGTAAATTTTAAATAGGAAACACCTTTATAGGAAGCATGCCTATGTTGCGTAAGTCTTTTAGATCGGCTTCGCTTAAGACATCCTACCTAATTATCTTCACGTTATGCATATACAAGTTGGCAAAAATTATCATGCAGCGTGTTGTAGGATATGCGGAAATTTGCTAATGGTGGTAAGGAAAACATTCAAGACCACTTAAAGGTGCCGCTTTTTCCAAGTTACGTCACCGTCAGGAGAAATTTTTTCTTTCGTGATAAAACAAAAAATTCATAACTTGAGCGTTTCATCATCATCACTCATTCAGCTCTAGGGATTGTGGCACAAAACTACATTGCTTATAATATTAGAATCAAAGCAACTGTACTTATAGGGAATACATTGGCACCATATTCGCTTGTATCTTCGATTTTTATTTGGATGACAAGTGTCCTGGTCGATGGGTTCAGGATTATCGCAGCCCTACGCTACGGCATTTTATAGAAAAAATATATATTCGCTTAAAAAAAAAAAAGCGAAATCGGCCTGATTTTATATAACCCTGCCTGAGATGAAAATTTTCTCCGCGATAAGGCTAGTAGCCATTTCTAACAGATTTTGGATCGCTTAGTCAAAAATGGATACATATACACATTTGAATTTTAAGAATACAAGGCAAGTAGCAAAATCGGCTAAAACGGCTACTTTTTTTGTAAAAAACGGCTAAACCGAAATTCTCCGGCTGTTTGCTGTCGCAACCAGCTAAATTTAGCCGGAAAATGACTAAAATGGCAACACTGGATATGTGGTTATAAATTGCGTATAAGACAAGCAACAGTTGGCTACCTGGGAAGTGTTCATGATGCGAAAAATTTTTCCAATTGCCCACTCGCAAAATATCCTGGGCATGAATCACTTTACTTTGAAACGATAGTCGTTCAAACGATGCTAACAAAACGACGTAGTCAAAGCACTGGTCTATGCATTTGTGTTGCTGTTACGTGTTACTGTTACGTGAAGCAAAACTGGAATCAAACAATTTTTGGTTTTTATGAAGCAAGTGATCGTTTTCTCTACGATCGAAGTTTTTCACTTCATTTTTATGGCGAACATTTCTGCACTTCCTCTTTGACAAAATCTCTTCGATTTTAAGCGACCAGTATTCAGCAACAAATTTTCTGATTTTTTTTTATATGTTTAGTACATATGTACATACATATTTGTATGTACGTCTCAAGACGGCATCAGACTTTGAGTTGAAAAATTAATTTTTTAGAAATTCTTTCTTTCTCTAGCGGTTTATCGTTTCTCTATTATTGGTTGACAACCCCAATTTACAAAAGTCCGCGTCGGTTTGAAAGCAGCAGAAATGTAAGATTTGTATTCTTTTTATATTGTTAATATTTAAACCCCTTTTCTTTTGTAGCACTTCGAAGAGGAGTGGTATTAAAAGGTATGAATTTTACTTAACTTGAATTAATTTTAATAGAACTTTTTGAAGATACTTTTACGACTGTGAAGAAAATGTCCGCCAACGAAACGACATACAATTTCACTGAAAAAATAATAATTTGAATTAATTAATCAATCTTTTCGGCTAAAGTGGACCACCTAAATGGACCACTAGTGGACACAAAATGAACCACTATTAAAAGTTTAAGAGTTTTGTTATATAGAACTAGTTCTACCCTGTATCTGTAACATGCAACATGTGAATTCTTTTTTGTTAAAAAGAGATAATAATTAAAAAAATGTTTTTTATAAGTGTATGTAAATGTATGTATAATTAGAAATACTATTTCTTTATGACTTTTGACCATTTATTTTTTCCTTATTTATTTATAATTTACTTTTTACAAAAATTTTGTTTATACTACAACCAACCAAAGAGACAAGATTTATTAACAATCGCCAACTTCCAAAAAAGTGCCATCAAAATTTCAAACTTTTCAATCCGAATTTCTAGAAAAAACTCGGGTATACACTTGTGTAGCCCATTAAATTTTAGTATCGTATTGAGCTAGGAATTTGCGTTGATTTTTTTTTTGTGTAAAAAAAATTTATAAACATACTTTGTATGGAAGAAAATGTGTAATACCGATAGCAATTCAGGCACATTTCACTTCGATCGTCTTCGAAACACTTCGATTTTTCAAGCGCTTCGCTTCCTTCAAAAATTCGCTCGCGGCAACACTGAGCAAGACAATCTCGACACGATATCGTTCAGACGATTATCGTCATACGTGATTCAACCCTGGGCGTTTTTTGTCAAGTTGTCAGTGGATTGCAGGAGACAGTGCGTATATTTTGAAATCATTTCTAATAACACCATTCTGAATAGTGTGCTACAGAATAAATAGAAAATTTTAATAAACATTTTTTTAAATACCGTGTTCGAGCTGAAAACTGCTTCGGTATTGTAAAAGAAAAATACGGAAGCTTTTAGGAATTAAAATTTAGAATGCATACTGAACAAAACACAAAAGAATGTAATAACTGGATCATGGTGTGCTGCATTTTGCACAATATTTTAATCAGTTTCAATAACCCAGACCAGGAAATCAGCATTCAGCTTCGTTGTAATTTGATACCGTCAATCAACATAATAAATAGTTTATTGCATTTCATTCTAAATAATCCAAATGTGTAATGTTATTACCTGAGAATTCTGAATTAAAAAATTGTTTTTTTTTTTATTTAAATGTATTTCTTAAAGAGCAACAAAAATAGCAAGTTTCATTAACACATTTAATTTATTTAAGCATAAAATATTTACACACACATACATAAGGCGTGTTTTTTTACACGAATACGTATCTGCACTTAAAATTGTATGGAGCTCTAAGCGACAAACTTTATGTGCGCTTATGGAGCATCATAAAAGCCATTTGGCTTTTAAAAAATTATGACATTTCATCAAATTCATGCTACCTGATCACTAGAAGAAATATTTTTTTTAAAGCAGAAGATTTTATCAGTACATTCAAAGATGTGGAATATGATGGACTTGAAAATTATGCCGGCTACATAATTTCGAAAATGGGATTGATGACTAGTTTCAGAACGCATGAAGAAAGTGATCAAAATTATACTTACATATCGTCGTTTAAAGCAGGGTTGTTGCGAATATTCGCATTCGCAACCGCGGAGCCTCCGCATTAATTTTAACATTCGCATTCGCAAAAATCAATGCGGAATGCGAATATCGAAGAGACCGAAAATTACAGTTTTTTTTACGATTTAAGCTTGGCCAAATATTTGTTATTCCGAAATTAAAGTACTTTCCGGATAATAAACAAATCGGTTATCCAAATTAAACAAGTTTGGTATCAAATGAAAGAGGACTTAAATAGCTTTAAAACTGAAATG